TACTGTATTGTATAATTTTAATAGTGTGGAGGTTAGGGGTGCCAACCACCCACATAGTTGAAAATATTCATATAACTTTTGATTCTCCGGAAGTTTAACTACTCATAAACTACTGTTGACCAGAGTTCTTACTGATAATATAAACAGTTGATTAACATATAGTTTATATTATATAATTATAATGTAAGTATAAATATATATTTATATTCTTACTACAAAGTATGCTAGAAAATAGAAAAAGGTTTTAAGAAATCACAAGCAGGAGAAAATAAATTAACTATTTATTAAGTGGAAGTGAATTATTTCAAAGGTCTTCTTCTTCCTATCTTGAATGGACTGAGGAGAAGAGAAAGAAGAGAGTTTAGTCTTGCTTTCTCAAGGGTGCAGAGGTAGACAAGGTGAAGGAGATGGAAGGGAAGACAAGAGAGGGAGATGCCCTCAGTGTATCCTTACAGAAACATATCAATCATAATTCCTTTTTAACATTTAGGTTTCTCATTTCTTTAAAAATGTTTATATATATGGTACAAATTCTCTTGCATAGCTTACTTTAGTTTCAGTGCCCACAATATAGAGGGTGTTCCAAGAAGCAGCAAGAAGTCATGACATTACAAGAAAAAAGTCGAATTGCAGTAAATGTACAATAGATTGATGTCTACAACTGCCTGCCATTTCAAAATAAATAAATCCAGCATAAGCATAAGGATTAATGGAAAGAAAGAAGAAAGAAGGAAAGAAGGAAGGAAGGAAAGAAGGAAGGAAGGAAGGAAGGAAGGAAGGAAGGAAGGAAGGAAGGAAGGAAGGAAGGAAGGAAGGAAGGAAGGGTAGGCAGTCATGAGGCTATCACTGTAGTTATGCCAGCAGGCATGAAAACCATATACTTTCAGCAAAATACCTTTTTATCTCATCTTGAAAATGCAGTTTTTTTGTAAGTGCAAGATGGCTATAAGAAAGACTCTGATATGACTCAAGAAATAAGGAAGTCATTATACAACAATTTAAAGCAAAAAGAAGGTAAAAGATTTAAAGCTAAAAAATTTAATGCCAGCAAAGGATAGTTTGATAATTTCAAAATAAGGTTTGGGTTACAAAAGTAAGCACACAAAGATCTGGGTTTAAAATGGATTTACATGAGTATAATGTTTCATTATCAACAACTCAGATATACTTCAGGACATAACTGGTTAAATTAAGAACTCCACCTACATGCTAAATATTTATTCATCACCTCTCAGAAATGTAATTTTTTTCCTGTTCTTTCACTGGCCTATACATAGGAATTAAAAGCATTAACGAGCTAAATATGGCATGCCAAAGTGTTTTCCTTAGCTCACATACTATCTTAAAGGTTCTACATAAAAATTTTGACTTTTAAATTTTTTGGAAAACTGGTCAGAAAACCTTGTCAATACTTGGCTCAAATTCCTGCATAACAAGAACAGGTTGGGGCTAAGACAAACATGTAATTTTGGCTATGTGAGAAGTGCAGTTCACCACCACTAATTCTTTCCAGTTGAACCTCGCACTCTAATTTCCCATATCTAACACTTTTTACTTACTAATGTTATCTCTTTAGTTTTTCTAGCCGTTGGAGCTTATAATAAGTTCACTCTTTATTCATCACTGAGTAAAAGAAGATATAAAATGTTCTCAACATTCAATAGTAGAAATAGAATCCCCATGAATTCTAAAGCACAAGTGGAGACACACACACACACAAAAACAGAATTATCTTTTGGTGGGCAGGACCCTTGTAGTGAAGGCTTCCCTAACTAGGTAAGTGTTCTAAGAACCCATCTGCATCAGTGTACCAGTTAACGTGTTGTGAGAGACCGCGTTTGGCTTCAGTGAATTTTTTTTTGGAGATTCTTTTAACTCATTTGCCCATTTCATGATGGGTGATTTACAAGCACATTTGCCTACACTGCACTGAGGATTCAGCAGTTTTTGAGAAAAAAATGGCATGACCCCTTGGACCCATCATCCCTATTCACATGATCTCACCCTGAGCAAGTTTTTTTGTTTCCTTGGATGAAAAAATTCTTCAGAAGGAAATATTTTGCCAATGTGGAAGAGGTAAGACAAAAAAATGATTGAAACACTAAAAGGCATCAGAATTGACAAGTTCAAAAACTGTTTTGAGTAGTGGAAAAAAGCATCTTGATAGGTGTGTTGCATCAGATGGAGAGTACTTTGAAGGTGACTGAAGTTTAAACTTGTAAGAATTAATACACAATTTTTAATAAATAAATTTTGTTTTCTGGGGGCAGTCCCTCCTTGTACTATTATAAATTCTGAATAGAGAGGTTACAAAACTGTTGCCCTAAAGACCTTCACCACCTGTTTCTGTATTCAGTGACAGAAACAGTGATTAAACTGGAGGTGAATTAGTGGAAATGATGTAAATAATGTGTAGCTGCTCTAAGTCACACATCTAAAATAGAAGCATTACATTAGGTACTTGTTTTAGTTTTATATTAGCAAATTCTAATTACTGGCTATGTTGGGTTACTATGATGTGTATTCCATTTAGGAAATGAATCCTTTGATCTCTTTGGAGTGCTTTATTGAAGTCTTGAGATAGAAAACAGATTTGTTTATTCACAAACACCAATAAGTTATTATATGTTAAGACAGACATTTCTGTCATGTTCTAACAAAGATGGAAGGGATATACACAAATATTTACACCTTGTTGTGCAAGGGCTATCAGAAAGCCTCACTCCTGTTGACCTAATTTGAGGCTAATGGAAATTTAAAGAAAGGGTTCCCTGAACAGAAGCCGCATTTTGGAAGAGACTTTAAGAACTATGCAGTGTGGCGATTCCTAAAATCTCTAAATATCAACCTTCCATATGACCCCGCAATCCCCCTACTGGAAATATACCCTGAAGAACTCAAATCACTCTATCAAAAGGATACCTGCACACTAATGTTTATCACAGCATTGTTCACAATAGCAAGAACCTGGAACCAACCATGCCGTCCATCAAAAGAGGACTGGATTTAAAAAATGTGGTACATACACACGATGGAATACTATGCAGTCATGAAAAAAGAACAGAATCATGAATTTTGCAGAAATCTGGATGAAACTAGAGTCAATAATACTGAGTGATCTCTCACAGAAACAAAGATCTGAGTATCACATGTTTTTACTCATATAGCGGACCTTGAACATCCACCGTAATACTATTAAAAAAAAAAAGAAAGACTGACAGTGGTGGGAAACTATGGGAAGGAAGGGGAAGGGAGGTGGGATTAACGGTAGTCAATATCTGGGAACGGGGAAACACCCCTTATCAACAAGGGTGCCTGAATGAAGCATATTTGTATACCTAACTCTAAACTGTACCCCACAATATCAAAATAAAAAATATTGATTAAAAAAATATAAAATAAAAAAAACCTTAATTATCTATCTTCTCCCAATTTGATTGTATGCTCCTTGAAGTCAGGATACTGGCTTACATTCTTTGCTGCTATAATTGCAGAGCCTAGAACTGTACATGCACAGATTAGCTATTCGATAAATAATCAAATGAAATTTGATTAAAAAAGAACTATGCAAATAAAAAAGAAAGAAAAGTTTTACAAGTGTAAATGCCATGAAGTGTGAGATTACAAGGCACAGTAATTTGGTTAATCAATGAATTAAGGTAAACATATTCATCAAAAGAGGGAATACTGGAAACAAAGTAGATTTGTAGGTACAGTAGATTTTAACTTGTTGATTTTAACTTGTTGGTTTTTAACTCGATGCTTATAAAATATCTAAAATGAAAAAAAGTACTAGAAATATCAAATTAAATTTATTGAAATTGTTGAAATGTATCCACTAGAATTAACAAATGAGTTACATATCCAATAATCACGTACAATTTAGCAAACAGAGATCCCAGTGTAAAGTCAATGATTGAACCAATCATTGGTACTGCACTCAAACTACCTGAAAATATTGTGTTATTGGTGGTAGAAGCCAGATTATAATGGATTGAAAAGTGGATATGAGGTGAGATGAAATATCTAATTTAGGTGATTTTTATCTAAAATTTCGGTTCTGTAGAGAAATGGCAAAACAGAAAATCAGCCAGAAAATTGGTGGTGGTATAAAATATTGTATAAATATAAAAAGATGAGAAAAACTTGAGTGTGATTTCTGAGGAAAAGAAAGGGTGGAGATGAAAAAGTTGAAGAAGCAGAATGGATCAGCTAAAGACTGATAAAATTAGATCTTGGAAGAGGCAGAAAGAAGAAATCTGAAGCCAGCTGAATCTACTAACACTGGCTAAAGAGAGAAATCTTTTTCTACTGAGTTGGGACAAAGAAGGTAAAGATGGATATGGTACAGATATATTTGCAAGAAGTAGCCCTGAAGTTGAGGCATTTTTTATAACATGGCCTCTTCTTCTGTAAATTAATAAGGAAAGTGTGATCTGAGAGTGAAGAGAAAGGTCATTGATGCTATTTATCTGTTCATTTCTTTATTCATTTGTTCAAGAAACATTTATTGAATGTTTCTAAATTCCAAATCCTCTGCTACAATGATGGAAAAAGTGAGCATAACCAAAGTGCACTACGGAGTTTCTCAACCCACTCCAGTCATAAGTCAAAACAGCAGCTACAAGAAGGCTTTAGCAAAGCAAATTCTAAGTTCTGCACTTCAACATCAAACCTGCATCAAGTGAAAAGTAAAGTTTTCTTCACTGGCAGGCAGTTCTGGGTGAGGGACATTTTAATCTTGGCTATTGTAAATCAAGTAATCTAAAACAAACTTCTTAAAATATCTTCTCCATTTATTCTTAGTTGTAAAAATGTGGTATGAATAGGAGCTGCATTTTATTTTTATTCTGATTTTTAATCCCTTTATTTCCTACTTGCAACTTTTGAAAAACAGTAAACAAACAAACAAATATTGAAAGAATGAATTCAGTTATTTGGATAATAGCATTCTACACTTGAAGGACACTATCATGGTACCTTGTTCTGATTATACTTACTCAAATCTACATATCCAATATCCACGTACAATTTAGCAAACAGAGATCCCAGTGTAAAACCAATGATTGAACCAATCATTGCTACTGCACTCAAACCACCTGAAAATATTGTGAAACAACTTTATTAGATGCCAAGAATACATGTTTTCATTCAACATACTTTTAAAAGTAATATTACACAATATACTTGTCCAAATAATTTTTAATGTACAAAAGAATAAACTTAGTAACACTATGATTTCAAAGGTAGACCTAGAAACACTAACCATGAAATGTAATATATTCTGTACCTTACCTACATACAAAGACGAATGTCCTTCTTTAGCAAAATCATCAATGTAAGAAACCCCCAATGGTACTACGGGGGCTTCCCCTATGCCCCGAAGCACATTTCCCATGAGGACATAGACCCACATGTGTGATCCATCTTCCTTTCCACAACCTATGTAGACAAGAGAGTGCTTTATTTTAAACATTAATTGTATAATTCCTATTAGAAATTCAACTACTTTAGCCTTTGATTATTTAATTTGATATTTTTGTTCTTTTTCTACTTATAAGTTATCCGTATTCATTTTGCATTCTGAAAATACAAAAAACACAAAGACAAGTAAAAATTGTCTGAAATCACACTGCACAAAGATTACTTCGAATGTTATGTATCTTCCACATTTTAGTGCACACAAAATATGCATAAACTCAGTATGTACATTATATACTTAAATATCCAGTTCATATTATAAACTGCTTATACAGTTAATACTATATTATAACAATTTCTCCATGTTAAGATTTCTTTTATTTCAAATTTTAATGAGTGCATAGTGGCCATGTTGAATAACAGTTCAATAATTTACTTAATCATTCTTTTATTTTTTAATTATAAAATAACATTTCTAATTTTTTTATCTTAAACAGGGATGCTATGGTTATAATTGTGAACAAATTCTTGTGCACATTCCTGATTATATCCTTAAGATTAAGATAAGTATATATTTTTATGTACTATGATGGGGGACCCAAAAGGACCTGGAATTTAGAAAATATTGTGTGTTTATTCTTGCATGTTTAAACTTCAGTCACCTTCAAAGTACTCTCCGTTTGATACAATATGCACATCGAGACACTTTTTCTACTATTCTAAACAATTTTTGAACTTATCAATTTTTGTGCTTTTTAGTATTTCTGCCATCTTTTTCTCTTACCTCTTTTACACCAGCAAAATGTTTCCCTCTGAAGACTTTTATAATCCAAAGAAACAAACAAACAAAAAAAGTCTTTCAGGGTGAGATTGGGTGAATAGGGAGTGTGGGGCACAGGAGCCATGACATTTTTGATCAAAAATTGCTGAACATACAGCTCGGTGTGGACAGGTGTGCTGGTACATCACCCATCAAGAAATGGGCAAATGGTTGAAAGAATCTCAAAAAAAAAAAAAAAAAAATCATGTAAGCCAAACGCAGCTTCTCACAACAACACTAGCTGGTACACTGATGCAGATGGGGCCTAGAGCACTTACCTAGCAAGGGAAGACTGTACTACAAAGAACCCACCCTCCAGAAAGAAAATTCCAGGTATTTTGGGGTCCTCATGTATAGTGAAAATTAATCTCCAGAAAGAGCTACAAATTTACACTCTCCCAGTAATACATAAAATGTAAATATTTTTTCTTCCACCTTATTTCTTTTTCATTTTAATACTTTTGATATAATACATAAAAATATTTAGTTTTAATTTATATTTACAATTTATTATTTGTGTTATAATAGATTTAAAATGTCTAATTGATATAATCATTTGCATTTTTCATAAACAGCACTTATATCATTCAAATATTTCTTCCACTTCCTGATTTTTATTTTAAATGCATATGTTCTTTTCCAATTTTTCACTGAAATTTTTCTCTTTTTATATACTTCTAAATGTTCTTTATATATGATACAATCATTCCTCTATATACGGGGGCATTTGTTGCAGAATTGCCTATATGTACCCAAATTCGACGTAAGTCCTACAATTGACCCTGCAGAACTAGCATCTAGAAAATATTGGCCCTCTGTGTAGGTTAATTTCTCATTCTGTAAATGCTGTATTTTTTATCTGCATTCAGTTGAAAAAAAAATCCATGTATAAGTAACTCACACAGTTCAAATCTATGTTGTTAAAGGATCAACTGTATGTATTAGCATAATAATTGTTTCTGTATTTAGTTAAGGGTCAAATATTTTTTCTATTTGTTTTAAATCAACTTTGCTAATGAACATTACAATAATTTTAGGATATAATTGAATTTATAAATTTTAGGCTATTTTTTACTGTTACAATTAATTCTTACCTTTTTCTACTGAATCAAGTGATGTTCTATTGATTGATAAAGCTTGATTAATTAAACAGGTGGATAAGCTTGATGTTGAATTTCCTGATGAATTGATAAAGGTTTCTTTAGAATATCTGTAACTATAAAAACATCACTGGATTTAACATTTTGCTTATATACAAAATATTTTCATGTTTCCTAGAAATCCAGATAACTTATTTTTATTTGCACCACTTTCTTCTTTAAATTCCCCAGTACTTTTTGTCAGTTTCCCAGGCTGTATTTTAGGAAAGGTAATGGGAAAAGGTGAAACGAAACTGTCCACTAAGAAAGAATATTCAATATGCTTCAGCAAGGTGAGTTATCACCTTGCCATAATCCTAGGTGTTCTTATTTTACAGTAAAGATATGATATCTCCTGGTTTCACCTTTTAAAATTAAAATTGCTAACTGTATATATTCATCCCTCTGGATTATCTTCAAAGATAGTTAATCTGCTTGCTTGCTTTTTTTTTTTTCATGGATGCATACACCCATGCACACACATTAATTCCTAACTCTTCAGAAACTTATTGAAAAGATTTTAATACATTTCAACTTGAGGCAGAAATTAATAGAAACAACAATGATAGAGCTAGAATAGGGATATACTGATAACTGAAAATACTGGGGAAACTTGTGAGCTTTAAGGACAGTTTACTGTATGTCAGATTTTAGGCTCAGATTCAGAACTAGAACTAATACATAGTTTTTGTGCTTAGGGAATTTCACACTCTCTAAGATAAACATATATGATGAAAGGAAAAATAAGTACAATATACAACATACTGAGTTGTCACACACAAAAAGTCTGATCAATTTTGCCTGGAGGTGGAAGCATAGAACAGAGAAGAATTCACAATGATGTGTGAAATTAATCTTGAAGATTGATAGACGTTTAAGAGTTAGACAAAGGAAGAAAAGTTTTCAAGACTGTAGGACCATTAGGTACAAATGTATGACATATTATGGCACCTTTAGAGAACTTCAGGCCTAGAATGTGGCCCTCAGTTTTGGGGAGCAACGGAAGATAAAACTGTGATGGTTGTATAGAAGGCATCCTTGTCATATAAATCATGAAGCATATGAAATTAAAGAAAGAATTAAGGAACAATGACATTATGGTATCAGAAGCAGAAGTAAAGGATGGGAGTAATGAAGGGACCACAAAATATAGAAAATGAATCAAGAGATGCTAAAATAAGCAGGAGCAGTACCAGTGAGAAGAAATCTTATAATTTAATCTTGTAAAGATTAAATGTGAAAAACAAGAGAATTAATATAGTGATCAAAATGTGTGAATACTGGACTTGGTAATCAGTAAGTAATTGGTGTCTCTGCTCATTGTCTTACTATCATTTATTTTTTCTTCCATGGTAATTGAAATCAGCATTTTTTAAAGCTAGGAATATGGTAGCTGTAATAACATCTATTTTTTCCCAATATCTTTATATCTATGAGTAAAATGTAACTGTCTTCCAGTCAACGTGAAGTCAGTAGCAGTGTTACACTTGAAAAATGTTTCTTAGCCCTCAGCCTGTTTGCACATTTTATAACTTCCTCTCTTCTATCTCATTCCCTGGAGATACATTGCCACAGTTTGAACCATGAGGTCAAGGCCATGCAAGGCAAAACAATATGATGAAAGCAAGTAGTATAAGTAAGCAATACCATAATATCAGTCGGGGACTACATTAACTTTTACATGAAAAATAAGCTTCTATCTTATTTAGTCAATTGCTATTTTAAGTTTTTTCTCATAGGCATCTTAGGAAGAACAGCTTCAGTGAAATCGTAATTGGAAAACCTATACCACAGTGGGCTGAATGCTGCATTTTATTGAATACAATAAAAATCTTAAAGGCAAAAACACGAAGTATACATGTTATGCTAAAAAGTCTTAGCTTATTTTTTCATATGAAACTGTAAATTGTATTTAGCGATTTAGTGTTAATTTTGTTTCAAAGTCTATGAAAGTCATGATGAGTAAATCAATAAATTATTATGTAGAAAATATACCCCATTTCTTTACATCCTCGGATACTTTTCTCAAAATATAATTGCCTATTTAAAAGAATAAAAATAAAACTCTATTACCAATTTACTAGTGAATAATTATTACTGGCACAGAGCTGTTTAACACTTACTATCCCATGAAGAAATGTGGTAAAGCAGTCAAAACACTGCCAGCTCCCATAATGAAACAACCAATTCCAATTATCTTTGGTCTGTGTAGTTTGGATCCAAAATAACTTACAAATACAATCACAAAAACATTTCCTAGAAAGAGAACAAAATTATGTTATAGGCTTAGTCCAATTCTGTCTAATTGAATTAAAAGGCCCTAGAATGAATGCAAATTGACCCCAAGTCATAGTCTCATTTTTCAGAGAATTTATAATTTAATTGAAAAAGTTAACTCACAATAAGCCACTCATTAAAAAGTCATATAGTACTTATAATATGTAGCTTAGGTTTTATATACAAAAGAACACACTTGAATTATTTGGCAATATTAGTGAAGCAAAGTTTTATTGAAGAATTTGGAACTGACCGAATTGTTTGGAATGGAGAAAAAATATTCTAATCTGAGAAAAAAAGTGGTTTTTCATATCTTTATTTATTCCTAGCATTCTTTAAATTTCTATTATGTACCTCCCATGGTGCTCAGGGCCAGAAATATAAAAATAGAATAATATATGTCCCTGTTCTCAAGAAAGTTAATAGTGATAAAAGTAAACAGATGGGGAGAGGTGTTATTAGACTATAGAAAGGAGGAATTTAAATCAATTAGGGATTCAGGAAAGCTTCCTGGAGGGAGGTCGCTTGAGATTTGAGGTTGAGTAGAAATTATTTAGATTAAAGAAATGTAAGAATAGTATTCAAAACAAAGTCACTACCAATTCTTATCCATCTGGAACTTCTTGTACAAAAATGAACAGACAATAATCAAGAATTAACTGAACTCTAATGAAACAAAAACATGAAAGTAAAACATCATCATGACTCAAGGGATAAAGTAACACAAGAAGCAACACTTAGATAAGGATTAAACTAAAAAAAAAAAAAAAGTTGAAACCTTAAAAAAAAATCCAGTTGTTTAAAAGTACACGAAATGGTTGTATCCATAAAATCAATATTAGAAAACTAAAAATAATAAGAAAACAATAAAGTATTATAATATTTAAAATATTATTTAAAAACTGAACAAATTAGAACTTGGAATGATACACATAAGTTTGGTGTCCCTCCAAATAATTTTTTTAAAGTAAAAGGAAAAATTATCAGAGGCAGGAGCAACCAATTCATAAAATAAGAAAAAAATTCCAATAATTGTATAAAACCTCACTATTACTAGAGAAATCCAAATTGAAATAAGGTAACAAAACAATATATATCTTCAGGTTGTAAATAAAAAAACAAACTCGAATTCTGTGGCCATTTGGACAGTAGAAGTCAAATGTAGGTTGCTCTAAAGTGGTTCTTCCCTCCTCAAACCATAAGAATCATATTCCTCTTACAAGCTTTCTTCACACTGGGGCATCCTGAGAGAGAGGAGGTAGCACATTAAACAGTGTGAGTTTGCAAGCAATGAGTTTGTGTAGGACTCGGGTTTTCAACATTCTCACTATCACTATTTTGGGATGGATTATTCTTTGTTGTTAGGTCCCTTCTCTGCATTGTAGAATGTTGAACGGCAATGTTGGACTCTAGCCTAGGTACTGGTAGCATCCTCCCTGTCCTTTGCCCAGTTATGACAACCAAAAATGTCTTCAGATTGTACCATGTTTCCCAAGAGGTACGAATTTATCCCTGGCTAAGAACCAGTGATATAAAGTATGTATGAACAGTTCCTGTTTTAAATTCTGCAAGTCTGGTTATTAAAATTGTAAAAGTTACCAATTTCAAAACTTCCATCAATTAAACCAGAAAGAGTAGCGGATATATCAAATCTCTTTTCTATTTGAGTGATGAAACTTTTCATAGTGCTTCCACCAATTGTCTTACATATGTAGGCAAATGACAGGGCAGCCAAGAATAGCTAAGAAAAAGCACAAGGAAAAGGGGGGAAAGTGGTTAATCAAAGGATTATAAAATGTTCACAGAGAATGGAATTAATAGCTTTTCTTTACACTTAAATACATTACATTATCATAAAAAGCATACCCATTTTTCCCCTATACCAAATGGGACTTCTCAGCCCATTTAACATTATCACAACTTCACTGATAAAGCATCATCTTGTAACTTAGTTACGACATCAGATTATTATTATGCAGTACAGTTAAGATTGTTATTTTTAAATTAAAGTTATTAACTGATTCAGAGCAAGCTAGACACTGTTCCCAGATGGCCATGATACTGAGATATTCTTCATTTCCAAGTCAATAGCATAGGCTAACTGTGAGGAGAATGACAGTACATTATCAAAGGTAGCATTTTCAAGAAGCCAGCTTAAAAAATGAAACTTTGTGAAGGCAAAGGGAAATACTGTGATCAACACAAATAACTAATAGTCATCCTAAGATGAATATTATAGATGTTTTAATTTTCTGTTTCATTTTAACAGAATTTTATGATCCATCCTTTCTCATACAGTTCAAATCTACATTTATAAACAAATTTATCTTGGTTCTATTCTTAAAACCATACCCTAGCCGGGCTCGGTGGCTCAGCCTGTAATCCCGCACCTTTGGGAGGCTGAGGTGAGTGGATTGCCTGAGCCCGCGGGTTTGAGACCTGCCTGGGCAGCGAGACCTCATCTCTACAATAAATCCAAAAATCAGCCGGGCATGGTAGCACATGCCTGTAATTCTGGCAGCTTGGAAGGCTGAGATGGAAGGATCGTCGGAACCCAGCGGGTCGAGGCTGCGGTGGCCCGGAGCGGCCACTGCACTCCAGTCTGGGCGACAGAGTGAGACTCCAACTCAAAAAAAAAAAAAATACCCTGTTATCAACAGCTTTTTTGTGTCCCTACCAAATTCATAGGTTGAAACATGTTGATTTCTTTCTTTTTTTTATTATAAAGATGTGGGGTACAATTCAGGGTTATACAAACGTTGATTATGCAGGTACCCTTGTTGATGAGGTATGCCCCTACCACCCCTAGCAGTTTCCCTCAACTGCCAATCCCACTCCTTCCCCACAGTTTCCCACTACTGCCAATCCCTTTCTTATGGTATTATAATTATTCAAGGTCCACTTATGAGTGGGAACATATGGTACTCGGTTCTTTGTTTCTGTGATAGATCACTGAGTATGATAGACTCTAAATCAATCCAATTGCTTCAAAGTGCATATGTTTGTCCTTCTTTATGGCTGCACAATATTCCATTGTGTATGTGTGTCACATTTTTTTAAATCCCGACTAGCTTCAGTGGTCAACATGGTTGGTTTCATGTTTTTGCTATTGTAAATAGAGCTGCAACAAACATACGTGTGCAGGTATCTTTTTTAAATGATTTGGGTTCCTCCAAGTGTATTCCCAAAAGGGGAATTGCTGGGTCATGCAGAAGGTCAATTTCTAGTTTTTTCAGAAACTGCCACGCAGACTTCCAAAGAGCTTGCAATAGTTTACATTCCCACCAGCAGTGTAGAAGCGTTCCTTTTTTCTCCGCATCCTCACCACCATCTGCTGTGATGGTCATTCTTACAGGGGTTAGGTGGTATCTCAATGTGGTCTTGATTTGCATTTCTCTGATGATGAGTGAGGCAAACCACTTTCCCATGTGTCCGTTGGCTGCCTAAAATTTTCTCTTGAGAATTGTCTATTCATGTCTTTTACCCATTTTTTAATGGGGTTTTTTTGTTGTTGTTTTTTGTTTTTTCCTTTCAGCACATTTGAATTTCTTGTAGATCCTAGATTTTAGGCCTTTGTCAGATACACAGTTGGCAAATATTTTTTCCCATTCTGTGGGCTGTCTCCCTGCTCTCTTGGTGGTTTCTTTTACTTTGCAGAAGTTTGTTAGTTTGATGAGGTACCATTTGTCTATCTTATTTCTTAAGGTATGGGCATTTAGGGTTCTGAATAGGAATTGGTTGCCAGTTGCAGTTTCCATAAGGTTGTCTCCTATATTTTCTAAAATTCTTACAGTTTGAGGTTTTACGTTTCAACCTTGATCCATTTAGAATTAATTTGGTGTATGGTGATAGATAGGGGTCCTGTTTCAATCTTCTGCATGTGATCAGACAGTTTTCCCAGCATCATTTACTGAATAGGTTCACCTCTCCTCAGTGGTTGTTGTTGAAGTCTTTGTCAAAGATAAGTTGGTTGAGAAATTGAGGCTTTGCTTCCAGAATTCCTATCTGAGGCTTTGCTTCTGGATTCTCCATTCTGTTCCATTGGTCTATTTCCCTGTTCTTGTACCAATACCAGGCTGTCTTGATTACTGTAGCCTTATGGTAACGTTTAAAGTCTGGAAGTGTAATACCTCCTGCTTTGTTTCTTTTGTTAAGAATTGTTTTGACTATTTGTGATCGTTTATGTTTCCATATGAATTTCTGTATTGTCATTTCCAGGTCAATAGATGAGTAGAATGATGTTGGTAACTTAATGGGTAGTGTGTTTAATCTGTAGATTACCTTTGGAAGGATGGACATTTTAACAATGTTGATTCTTCCTATTCATGAGCATGGAATATTTTTCCATTTGTTTGTGTCTTCTTGGACTTCTTTGAGCAGTGTTTTGTAGTAGTCAATGTAAAGGTCTTTCAATTCTCTGGTTAGGAAGATGCCAGGGCATTTCAATTTTTTTATGGCTGTTGTGAATGAGATTGTGCTTTTAATTTGTGTCTCTGCCTGCTTGTTGTTGGTGTATAGGAATGCAACTGTCTTTTGCATATTTATTTTGTACCCTGAGACTTTGCCAAAGTCTTTTATCAGTGCAAGCAGGTTTTTTGACAGATTTTTCTTGGGTTTTCAAGGTATAGGATCATATCATCAGCAAAGAGGGATAACTTGACTTTCTCTTTTCCTATTTGCATACCCCTAATTTCTTTCTGTTGTCTAATTGCCTGAGCTAAGACTTCCAACACAATGTTGAACAAGAGGGGTGGGAGTGGGCAACCTTGTCTAGTTCCAGTTTTCAGGGGAAATGTTTCCAGTTTCTTTCCATTTAGCAAGATCTTAGCTGTGTGTTTATCTTAGATGACACTTAACTATTTTGAGGTATGTTCCTTCTATACTTAGATGTTTGAGGGTTTTTATCAAGAAGGGATGCTGGATTTTATCAAAAGCTTTTTCCACATCTAATGATGTAATCATGTGGTTCTTGTTTTTACATCTGTTGATGTACTTAATTACATTTATGGTCTTGTGAATGTTGAATCAGCCCTGGGGATGAAGCCTACTTGGTCATGGTGGATGATTTTGGGGAAGTGTTTTTAGATCTGATTTGCTAGAATCTTGTTGAGGATGTTTGCATCTATGTTCTTTAGGGATATTGGCCAGTAGTTCTCTTTATTTGTTGGATCTTTACCCAGATTGGGTATCATTGTGATGTTAGGTCATAAAATGATTTGGGCAGATTTCCATCTTTGTCAATTGTCTGGAATACATTCAATAGGATTGTTATCAACCCCTCCTTGTACGTTTTGTAGAATTCTGCTGGAAAGTCATCCGGTCAAGGACTTTTTTTTGTAGGTAGTTTTCATATGACAAAGTCAATTTCCTGGGTTGTTAGTGGTCTATTTAATGTCTCAATGTCTTCTTGTTTCAACCTGGGGAGGTTGTTTGATGTCAGAAAGCCCTCCATTTCATTTAGGATATCAAGTTTTTTTTCCATAAAGGTGTACATAGTAATCTCTGATAATCTTTTGTATTTCTTTGGGATCAGTTGTGATTTGATTTTTTGTATATCTGATTGTGTTTATTTGGGCTTTTTCTTTCTTTTCTTGGTCATCCTGGTTAGGGGTCCATCAATCTTGCTAATTCTTTATAAGAATCAGCTTTTGTTCTGTAGATGTTTTCTATATTTTGTCTTCTATGTCCCATATTTGGGTTCTTCTTTTGGTGATTGGGATTCTTCTGCTAAATTTGGAGGTTTGGTGGTCTTCTCTTTCCAGCTGTCTTAGGTGATTTGTTAGGCTCTTGACTTGTGATCTTTTCATTTTCTTGAGATGTGCTTGTAGAGATATAAATTTCCCTCTTAGAACTGATTTCATGGCTTTGCAGAGGTTTTGGAAGATGTCTCTTCATTTTCATTTGTTTCCAGGAATCTCTTAATTTCTACTTTGATTTCAGTGTTGACCCAGTAGTTGTTCAGCATCATGCTGTTTAGTATCCATGTCTTTGTGGACTTTGGGGAAATGTTGTTGGTGTTGATTTTTTTTTTCCACTGTGGTTAGAGAATGTGCATGGCAAGATTTCAAGTTTATGGAATTTGTTTATGCTTGATTTATGGCCAATGATGTGATCGTTCTTGGAGTACGTTTCATGTGGTGATGAGTAGAATGCATATTCTGTGATTGTTGGGTGGAATAATCTGTAGGTATCTATTAAGTCCATTTAGTCAAGTGTCAAGTTTAGGTTCTGGATCTCCTTGTTAATTTTTTTGTCTCAGTGATCTATCTAGGGCTGTTAGTGGAGTATTCAAGTACACCGCTATAATAGTGTTAAGGTCAATATCTTTTTTTAGTTTACTTAGTAGTTGCTTTATAAATGTTGCTGTTCCTGTGTTGGGTGCATATATGTTTAGGATGGATATTTCTTGTTAAGGGATTGAAAAATTATCATTATTTAGTGTCCTTTTCTGTCTTTTTAAATTATTCTTAGCTTAAAGGTTGTTTTGTCTGATATTAAGATCACAATTCCTGCCTTCTTTTGTGATCCATTTGCCCAGAAACTCGTTTTCCATCCTTTAACTTCGAGTCTTTGTATGTCCCTTTGTATTGAGATGAATCTCCTCGATGCAGCAAATAATTGGGTCATGGTTTCTTATCCAGTTTGCCATTCTGTGTATTTTAAGTGGTATATTTAGTCCTTTCACATTCAGGGTTATTATTGAAATGTGATTGTTTATTGCTGTCATGAAGTTCTTATAAC